CTGACTTGTAGCGTCGCTGTCGTTGTATATCCTCGAGAATTCCGATTGTGTAGTAAAGAGGTTGGGGCTATTGAAGAAGTGTCGTCGATATAAAGCTGGAGGTCCGCTCAGGAAGACGCAACCCTACTGTCCAGGACAACTTGAAATGGCGTCACCGGTCGAGGACGATTGGCGCTGGAGAAATCGAGTGGCTGCAGGTGCAGTGGCCGGGCAGCCGAAGCAATATTGGAAGAATCCTATAGGGGTGTAGAGAGCTGGAGAAGGTGCAAAAGGATGTTGGTTAGAAGAGAGAGGGGAAACAAGGAAGCCCAGCCGGTCTCCTTGGAAGGGTGTTACAGCCAAGGTGCACAGAAGTTGGACCTGTGCTCCCGTGAGTGACTGAACAATGTTTGGAAAAGGACGGGACGGAGACGGGAGACCGGAGACGAAAGAGAGGGAAATAAAAAAACACTAGCGGACCGGAGTGACGAGACTGCAAATGGTTTTTAGACAGGATGGAAGCCGCGCAACCCCCAGCTGGGAAATGGCTGAAAAGGGTCGAACGCAGCTCAAGTGTGGAGGCACCCAAGCCTCTTGCTCGGGATGGGTCCTGCTCGTGCTGCTCGAGGTCCTGCTGGCGCAAGCTGCTGTTGCTCTCCACGACCTCTCCACGCATGCATCGAACTCCTATTGGCCGCGTCTTGGCGTTCTGGAACTGGAGATGCCAGCTAGAAGAGGCATCCTGGGCACTCTGCTAACCTCCTGAGGAGAGCTTCACACTTTGCTTCACATTTCACCCTGCTTCGAATCTGGAGATGTGGTAGCCAGCCAGCTGGGAAACGATCAAACGCTACGTCAGAAGGTCGAGCTCCGCTCCCGTCGAATGAATGGTGGTCCACACAAGCAAGGCACGGCGGGGAATGGTACCGAAGTGAGAGCTTCTACGAGGTGTGATTGGAAGCGGGCTGGCCGCGGGTTGCGACTTGGGGGAAGAAGTGCAACGCTCAAAATTTGGAGATGCACTCCCAAGACTCCCAGCTTGTCTCGCTTGCGTGGCTTCATCGTCGTGCACCTTGCTACTAGAGACTAGAGGTAGGCCTTATCGCAATTAGCCCAAATTGTATACTCTTGTTTTCTCGTTTACACCCCCCAATATTTCCGAGGTAGTTCATCGGCATTTGTTTTAGCTGGAGTATTATCACATTCTGGCATTACTCGCAAAAACATGGGAGCTTCATGGCGGTGCTAAGAGCTTCAGGTACTGGAGGCATGTACCCCGCAGATCCCAGTCCACTTATCGCCGCGCTTGCACTTGCCAGCTGAAATGTGCATACTCTATGCGTGACTTGCTGAACAGGATCGCCAAAGTGATCGGGTAACGGTGAGGCGGGGACTGGTCACAGATGGAAGTTCGGCAAGCAAACTGAACGAAGACAACAGAGATATAATACGGACAAGTATGCTTTCCGATTTCCAAAAAGTGCGTGCTGTTGTAACACCAACAAGATGCGTCATGTCACTTTCCGAGACTCTCTGCCGACCACAGAGTATCATCCATATCTGTCATCTTTTTAGGGTCCTGCACCTGCCCACACTATGTCGAGTCTAGGTAGACAACCCGATGTTGACGCCGAGTTGGCCCGGTAGTGTATCACATTTACATGACGATTTTCTCCAGATCCACGACCATGAAACTGCAGACAATCAAGGCTCTTCAATGTCTCAATTTGCTTCATCAACCAAGGTAGATGCTGCTCGGACTTGATCACCAGTTGAACCCTGATTCTTTACTCCAGCGTGGGAAATCCACTGTCTACCCCTCAGGAGGCCGCCGCATCGACAAATCGGGTGGGCTCACTAATAAGCGGATCCCTGTCGCAAATCTCCCAGCGCAGGGGTCTCAAAAGTGCCAGTTCAGCGCAGTTCGACAAAAGACTGACGAAGAGTTTCCCCTTTCTTTCCAACATGTGAACAAAGATACAAAGGTAACTTCTCTGCATCATCCCACCCAACGAGGCCACCACTGCAACGAAATCTCACGCGACAATTAACAAATCGCTTGTATCATCCCGGCGCCCATCACCCAACTTGATATCACAATCTTGGAGACTGACGTGCAACAATGGGTCTGGCCACACAAAGACCATTCATCCATGGACTGTTGGAATCTTCAAGATCGGTGTTGGTTGTCCGATAGCCAAACAACTACTGTGTACAAACTGGGACCCAGTCACAAAGAGGTGATTGGATAACAACCTCCCTTAAGGTAGGCCACGTTCACCTCTTTGCAACAAAGTTGAAAGCAGGGGGATTTCAGCCGTGATGCACAGAAACGCAGTTAACTCCACGTGTGAGGTTGGACGAACTCTTGTCAATGGTTCCCGCGACCGAGCGAATCGTCTTTCTTCGGTCTTCCGATACAGCTCTCTGGATCAGCAATTAGGCCTCAAGGATACCTTAACCGGAGACGGCAACTCCTTCTGCTTGGACCGGCAATGAGCAAGTTGTCTGGTGGCCAAGCAACAACCCATTTTCGCTGAGACTTTGTCACCTTGATGGCATGGAGCTGTCCTTGACCGAAAGCTTGGGGCGTTGTCGTTATTACAATGTTTCGTGTCCGGATCTTGTGTCGCACCCCCAATCTCCCCACCCGCAACCCGACCGATACGGACCTAGCGCCGGGCTCCACTTGTTAGCGCCGGGTTCACCGGCTTTCGGTTCGCTGTGAGTGAGGACTGACGACCGGCCAGACTGTCCCGTGGGAAGCATCGCCGATGTCAATAGCCGATGTCGTGTCTCAAGGTCTGCCGGTCACCGGGTCTGCCATGAGATTTCGATGCCGAGGAGTTTCTAATCGGTAACGTAGTTGAGTTGTTTGTGCAGAATTGTCAGAAGGGCGGGCAAATACGATGATTACAGACGTTACGGCATGGCGAGATGCCGCAGCAAGCTCACGATGTCAAACTATGCTATGCTCGTAAGACATTTGGCTTACGAGTGGACATAATGTATTCGGCGGCGAGGTTCAAGATAAACTGCCTATGCAGTATGGCGAACTACGGCCATTTCACCCGTAGCAGCTTCTGGAGGATGCCATGTGCTGTCGTTGATATCCCATAAGCCACAGTGAATTGTCAGCCTCACATGTTTCTCAATGCTTATTGGTTGACTATTTGTTCAGCCACACATGTGTGGCGAAAGCTAGACGCGACTGAGGCGACGCGGCTGGGTCTAGTTTTCCACGGCGGATGGATTCATGCGACAACGCCAATTCCCAAATCCCAATTCACCAAACATCGTAGTAACTAGTCCAACCGGCGACCGGGACTATCCAGCACTTTCGACTACTGCGAATCCATTGACGATAATCGCCGAATTGTTCCCACAACCGCAACCCAAACGTCTTGCGCACTAACGACGAGAGTACACCCCGACATTCACCATTTGAGCAGGCTGAACAAACCGACTCGACTTTCGCCATCTCCCCGCACTCCTCTCGACGACGGACTATCGCATCCAAGTCCTCCTAGTCTACCCACGACACCGCCTCATCACCCGTTGCACCCAATCCCACCAACACCCCGAATTAGAAGCAGAGACAAATCGACAAAATGGCCAACTTCCTCGCTTCCATCTTCGGCACTGAGCAAGACAAAGTCAACTGCTCCTTCTACTACAAGATCGGCGCCTGCCGCCACGGCGACCGCTGCAGTCGCAAGCACGTAAAGCCGTCGTACTCGCAAACGATCCTGATGCCGAACCTGTACCACAACCCGGCCTTCGACCCCAAGAACCGGATGAACGCGTCGCAGCTGCAGAACCACTTCGACGCCTTCTACGAGGACATCTGGTGCGAGATGTGCAAGTACGGCGAGCTGGAGGAGCTGGTCGTGTGCGACAACAACAACGACCACCTGATTGGCAACGTGTACGCGCGCTTCAAGTACGAGGACTCTGCCCAAAAGGCGTGCGACGATCTAAACAGCCGCTGGTACGCGGCCAGGCCGATCTACTGCGAGCTGTCACCGGTCACGGATTTCCGCGAGGCGTGCTGCCGCTTGAACAGCGGCGAGGGCTGTGTCAGAGGGGGGTTCTGTAACTTCATACATCGCAAGAACCCCAGCCCAGAGCTGGAGAGGGAGCTCGAGCTTAGCACCAAGAAGTGGCTCAAGATGAGGCCGCGGAGCCGCAGCCCGACGCGCTCGCCTAGCCCGGAGCCGACTAGGAGACGGTATTAGAACAGGCACGGTTGTGCCACGAGGCTGGACAGAGCTGACGAAGGGGTGGCGAACGGATGGACGGCGATGCGACAACAACAACCACGTGGTCGGGGAAGAAACCCCGGAGGACAATAAGGTAGTGGTGGTGGAGGTAGTGCAGCAGAAGAGACAAGACGCCGGAACAACTCCACCAATCATCGACAATCAACCACATCAAGAGGCACACCTCACAGTTCGCGCGGATAGAGAGGGAGAGGGAAAGAAAACATCATGGTCATGAAGGATATGGAGATATTGATTGCAAGAACAGGCTTTTGCTCGGTCTGTCTGAGTTGCAGCAGAGGCTGGGGCCAAGGTTTTATCATCAAATTAGTACTGGAGTAGGGGCGTTTGTCGTTTACTACTGGAATGTGATGTTATGGTTTCGGCTAGACAACATGAGCCTCAGTTATTGTCTTTTGTACGTGTATGACAGCTTAATTAAGGACTTCAAAATCCTCACTTATCACCGACATGTCCGCAAAAACGAGCCTTGAGAATGTTGGCCCTATAGTACCTTATTGATGAACTTGGCCCCAATTATCAATCGTCCCAAGCCTGATCATCCAAATCCATGCTTCCGAGTGGTTTCTTCTACGGATCCGTCTTAATGCTTTAACGCTAACAACTACTGGTACTGTAAATAGATATGGTAGAGGGTATCTCATGCTTCAAAATCTTGGTCGAGAACAGCTTCGAAAGTTATCCTCAATTCTTCGCGCACACCGTCTCGCAACGTCGTCCAGCTTCTCCCGTTGTCCTTTACTTCTTTGGTAACCTCGAGCCCTTCACAGGTGCTGGGAGACACAAGGCAAGCTTGTCACGCTCTGTGCATCGTATTAGCAGTCCGTGATAGGTAGAAGAGAGTGGTGGCATCTTGACTTACCCGCTTCACTTTCAAACAAAATGGTTATGTCGTCATGTTCCCCGGGGAGTTCAGGTAGATCTAGACACAAAAAGGCCGTGTCTGCGGCCGCCTGTGCATCTGTTACATTCTGGGGCAAAACCTTGGGCAGAGGAAACTTGGCATCAGCAATTTTGAGCCCAGCCTTGCCGCCCTTGTTGAAAGCCTCAAAGATGTCGGTTCCTTTCAAAGTGAATCCCATGCACTGGCCGTGGACGAAGTTCTCAAAGAAGGTTAGCATCTGCGTAACCCCGTCTTGCTGCACGATCTGAATTCGGGTTGACCCAGCCTCCCATTTCTTGTGAATGGGTACCACCATGCGGCGACGCGAGATCGCAAATGCACTAGCAATCCCATCAAACAGGATTTTGAAACCGGTGATGGCGGACTCAAAGGCATGGAGTTCACCGACACTAGGGAACATGTAGGTTCGAATGGTGGGAGATTGCTGGAGGACTTCCAGGCACTCGGCCATCCCTTGAGACAGGTCGCGCGAAATCTTTGGTTCCGTAAATGCCAGAGTTGCGTCTGCTTGCGGCTGGCGAAAGATCATGATACAACTGGGGTTGCGTACGTCTAGCCTCAGCCGCAGTTCGCCGGGCGCGACGTTGATCCTGTCAGTGAATGTGCCATCCTGGAAGTCGTAAACCACACGAAGCTTGTCAGCAAGAACACACGGTGGCCGGTCACCATCATTGTCGTCATTGATGACCTTGACCCTTTGCCAGCTCAACCCAGCCATCTGCTTGAGACCGTTGTGTGCAGAATCCCCGTATTGTTCAGAGAACCAGACGACCTTCAGCGGAACCTCACAGAAAACCTCCTCATTCTTCTGTAATGCTGACCCAATGAGTAGACTATGCATCTGCGACCTTTCTTGCTCGTCCTTGAAAGACAAAACCATGCTTCCCTTGAGACGCCCGTTTTCAAATTTTACGGTAAGGGCAGGGTCGCCTGCTTCAGTGCGGCATTTACCAAGCTGAATAAGTGTTTGTGGAGTGTACACTTGATTGACGCCGCTCAGTGTCTTAACCTTTGGCCCGGTGACAACTGCGATTCGATATCCGCGATGGTAGGTTCGAGGTCCGGTTGCCGCACCTTCTTTCTTGAGGCGCTCAAACAAGGCGAGCTCGCACCCCGGGGTTGCTTCCCTGGGAAACTGCCGGGCCTGTGGGTCATTGTCGACATACTGAAAGGCGCGAAGCGTTGATCTGAACAGGCACTTCTCGTCTGGCTTCGCGTAAAGGCTCGAATGGACCTTTGCGCTGAACTCATACATGCTGCGCAGCGTTTTGAAGCTGCTTTGCGAGCATTGGAGGACCAGAGCAAACCCTCGTGGCAGCCGTACATCCAGGGTGAGTGTTTCTGGGCGCCATCGTACGTCTTCCCACACGGGACCCAAGCCTTTGTTACCAGATATCCTAAGCTGAACAGAACCATTTTGGCTTGCGACAATGAACATGATATCCGCCTGTTTCGGCGGCCTCACAATGGATAAGAAACACGGAAAGTGAAGCCTTTGCGATTCTCTCCCTTGCTCCATTAGGAATGCCTCAATGCGGAAACGCCCAAACGAGAAGAAATTGTCGGAGTCTCCCAGTGGAAGAGCTTCTAACATCCCCATACCAGGCTGCTGTTGCTGTGTTGAAGCGAGCGCTGAGCTCGAGGACCCCCAAAGGAGGGAAATGATGTCTTGGGTCAACGAGGGATATTCTATCCATATCGATCTGTCTATCGCTTGAGGTAGGAGGGCTTCCTCGGGTGGCATAAAACCGTTTCTCTGCATGGATCCGGCCAATTTTCGCAGGTTGTTTGCCAGAACCTTTCGTACCTCTTCCACCTCCGCATCTATCAAGGTCGACGTGCTGTTGGAGGTCTCCGGAATCATCTTTTCTGATAACCAGTATGCTTTGGCAAGGTCTGCATGAGCTTGTTGCCTAGCCAGGCTGTTTCTTTGCTCGGCTTCGATACCCGCCGGCCGTTCGCGAACAGCATTCTCCAGTGCCATGCGGCCAGTAAGGAACCACCACAACGCTGCCCTTACAAGCTGTCCAGGTGTCGCTGATAGCAAGGGCCGAACGCTCTCGGAGTGAAGACGAAATAGTTCAAAGAGGTGGGTGCTCCGGATGGCAAAGGTATTCAAGGCATCGTCTAATGCACTTTGATCATGGTTCCATGCTGGGGTTGGTGGTTGCTGTGCTGCAATTGGTGACATATTCTCCCCCTCCAAGGACCTTCCTGACGATCGAAACGACCCAAACTGGTTGATGAAGCTGGTGGGTGGGCTTTGTTCTAGACCAGGTGTTAGACCAGGTGTCGGGAGTGGGCTCATCTGCGGTTGCAAATGCAGTGGAGAGTTTTGTGTGTCTGGCGCCAGAGCCCCATTCCGTGGCAGTTTTAGAGCCCGAGGCGAGTCGACAGTATATGTCTGAGGGGAGCGAGGAGCCTGAGCAGGTATCGGAGAGGGGCCGAGCCTGGATTGGGGCGAAGCTGGCATTACTGGCTGACCAAGGCATTCCGGTTGTGATGGCTGGTACAGTTTAGGAGGGTGCATGTCTCTTGGGGACTCTGTATACTGTCCTCGACTCATCGAATTGGTGGCCGAAAGGGGTGGCCTCTCGGAAGGTCGAGTAGCTTGCGAAGATATGCTTGCCGAGCGGACTGCATTGGCAAAGGCTTGTCCCTCTGCTTCTCGCATCTCAGCTTGATGCAGTTCAATGAACGAACGGCGTTTCTCGTCTGGACTGGTTGCTGGGTTGGCTCTTGGCCTGGCCTGAGGATTGTTTCCTTCTGCCAACTCTTGTTCCCCGGTACCAGCTGTACTCGTAAACCCAGTTTGCGTACGTCGCAATGGCCCTGGCATAAACGGAGAGTCGCCCTTTGGCGCTGCGCCCAATGGCCCAGTAGGTCTTCCACCCCCATCCATGGGCCTTTCAGGCGCAGTTGTGTTCGGAGGCATGGGTGGCCTGGCCTGCTTTCTTTTCGCGATCTCAACCGTGGGAATGTCGCACTCGTCGCCGCCATGTCCAATAACTTCGGGGTATGCATCGGTAAACTTGACGTTCAGGCCTTTATTTTTGCGGATTCGTGGGCTGTGTGAGCGTGCTCGGATAGCCATATCATGCCGAGGGTCGGTGGGACTCTGCACGTTTAGGGAGTTGGGATATCGCGTACTGCCGGCCGTCTTGGTGTCGAGCTTTGCAAGCGTGGGGGGGCCTGGATGGGCAACCTGCAACGTATCCGATGAACCACGAAAAAAATCATTCAGATCTCCAGACGATCCCTTGTTGTCGTGAGAAGGCTTCCGGTCGCGGTCGCGGTCGCGGTCTTCCTTGATTTTGCCGAAGAGTTTCCCCATTATGCGGCCCCTTTTGGTACCCCGGCCATCCTCCTGCACCGAGATCATAGGCGGTTCGTTCTCCATTCTGTGCATCGATTGTCGTGTGTAGCTGTGTATTCGAGGCACGTCATGGGGCCCCGAGCTTCCTATAGATGTTGTAGCGATAAGAGGCGCGGACTAGCCCGTTCAGGGTCGAGTTTGGGAACTTGGTTATCATGCACACGCGATGCCGTAGTGCGACCAAAGAACTGGCGTCAACCAGACCGAGAATTGCAGTGGGCGCAACAACCGATCAGTCACAGCTGCTTGGACTTGAACAAGGTGATTATGACGAAGGAACAGCTGGGGGTTCGGGGTGCCGAGACAGAGTGCGGTAGGCAGTGGTGATGTTCGGAAAAGACCCGGGTAACTGAATGGAAGCGAAAGGTAAGCAAGATGGCAGAATGGTGGATGGTGGATGGATGGGTGTTGTTGTTGGCCGCGAAAGGTGGTGTTCAAAGTTCCAACTGAACTATGTAAGGTAGGTACGCAGACAGCCACTGCGCGGCGGCCCCGAGTAGGAAGCTGTCATAACGGTGCGGTCGTTATTGGGATGACAGCAGCAGGAGCAACCCGGGCGCCGGACAGACTACGCTGCAACCTACCTGCAACCTGGCGCTGCTGCCCGCAGCAGAACGGGAGAGGCGGGGCAGATCAGTCAGGGGAATCGGGAGTCAAGCAGGGCAATCTGCTTGCCAGCAGACAGGAGGGCCGAAGAGGGAGCTGTGATCGTCTTACATTCGTGGACCAAGCGAGGACAAACTGGAGTCCTGGATTGCGGCAGTGCCTTGGCTGGAGCACTGAGGGCTGCAGATGTTCGGTGGACAGGTCTGCGCCTGGATGGATTCATATAGGTAATGAAGGGAGATGGCGGGCCCGGCCCGGGATAGGTAACTGACCTCCAACTGGACAAGTCCGAAGTAAGCTCGTAAGGCAGGGTAGTGACGATAGGTAGCTTTGACTGTAAAGAGGTTCCGACGACGACGACAGGACTGTTAACAATGTCTCTATAGGGCAATGTGTCACAAGACAGCCAGCCCGATGTGATCGCGGAAGCCGTTTAACGTGGGGGATAGAACTGGACAGTTAAAAGCTCAAGCCCAAGCAAGGGACTGGAGATGGGATCGAATTGGACGGACTGAAGGTGTTTCGGGGAGACAATCCCGTCGGCCGTCATGGAGGAACTGAACCTTGAAATGGATAGTATCGCCTGGTGTTGGTTATCATTCACACAAGTGCCCTACTAGTAGTCCTACTCCTTTAGCTAAACTCGTATTTAAGGCACAGATCCGCCCCCCTCTCCCCGTCGCTCCCCTGATGGCGTCACGCATCATCTTCCTCAACGGGCAATGGGCCTCGCGGTGCAGCATTCTCGATAAGTCAATTTTCGTGTTTCAGGGTTCGCGAAGGGTCGCGAATGGTCGCGGATTGACATCCCTCTCCAGTGAGGAGCAGCGAGTCTCCACTCTTTACGCTTTAAGGGTTCCGCTCGCTCTGAGCTTGGCACGTTCGCAGCAGCAACCCCCTCTGGGGAGCCACTGCCAGTTTCGTTGCCTCAGGGGCAGACCCAGGTTGTGTTTCCAAGCAGCCGGCATTACACCTACTTGGGCCGGCCGAGGCTGCAACTTTCCGTCGAGTCCCCCTTTCCACTTGGACTTGTTCTTGAATCTGGAAGAGATCTTGGAGGCTGGCGCTTGCAAAAGATTGCTCCAGCCTCCTCGGCCGTAGAACCAGCAACAGATCCGTGCAACAGCCTCTACTTATAGCTGCGGTCCCGGCCTGGATCCCAGTGATCCCTCCTCGACTGAAAGGCCGGCCCAGGAAGTTTCCAGAACGAAAGGTCGTGCCAAAATCGTGGATCAACTTAACGCTGTACTTATGGCGGTGCATTCATTGCGTGGTACCATACCCGCTAAGAGAGATAGGTAGCACGTGTCGACCACGATACGGTATTCCAGTCGGGGTCGAAAATTCTATTCATATCTCAAAAGTCAACCGCAGCATCGTCTCTGTAGAGGCGGATCTTGACCGCATAAAGCTGTACTGGCTACTTGTGCTTATCCATACCCAAGACCAGTTGATATATGCCCCTGTTAGCTCTTGTCGTTAATGTTCTTTGCTCTAATCCAAAACACGTAGCACGCCAGCTCTCGTGTTTTTGCAACTTCAAAGGAACCAGAGCCTCACTGGCACCTTGTAGATGCCCGAGATACATACCTTGATTCTGTAACGCGACTCAACCAGAGAACCTAAGTGGCCTTCCCTTGTGTTGTTGAGGAAAAGCGACTCCATAGCAGAGGTCTCGCCAGCGGCTCAAAGAGAGCCCCGACAACGGTGAACGATACTGGCCGCTGTCAGTTGCCAGGTGATGGGTGGGAAGACGACGAGGAACGGGACGGATAGCCAGAGAAGCATCGCCAAGAATGTCTAAGCCACAATATTATTTACCGATTAGGCAACTGATGGGGGCATCGTGAAGGCCATTGCAATTGCGGCCGCTGGGCTTTTGGTCACTGGAACGCATTTTTACAATGAAAGATGGGTGAACATGTATGATAGTGACTAAGATTGAAGTAGGAACATGGAATCAGTCAGCAGTATTGAGTTGTGACCGAGATGACTTATACGCACCACTTAGTGACAGCCCGGCACAACCTAAGGTAGTGACCCATAAGACCGTCAGGTATCTTTGCCGGAGAGCAACACCGGCGGAAGATAAGGCGACTGTTGCTCATGGTATATCAGACTTAGATCTCCCAAAGGTCTTGATGATGCCAGGCTAAAGCATTATGGTCAAAATAACCATTAAAGATCGGCCACCATGAAGTCTTGTTATCGTGAAGCATAGAGAGAACTCTTCGCTGAATGGCCAGTCCCTGGAAAAGGGAGGAGCTGGGCTGGGCTGGGTTGGGTCACCCACGTCATTTTATTCAGGTCCCCCTCCATCGCCCGTCCGCCCTCCATGTCAGGCTGCCCCGCCCCCGTTCAGGCCGGCTTCGCGCTTTAGAGCGGGAAACTCATGAATCCCGCCATCTGCCGAACGGTGTCTGCCCCATCGTCCGCCTGGAGCTTCCCAAATCCCAACATCCGCCGACCCCGGGCCGTCATCGATCCACGCAGGCATTCCATTTTCCTAGGTCCCAACAGTCCCGCTGCTATTCGTAGGAAGAAGGGGACGCGAGTGGGAATTCCCAATCCCTAAAGACTGTACATACCCGATACCACCCTGCCTAAAAGTTCCTGGACAAGAGCACCCGCATCTGCATTTGCACTTGCATCTCCCTTCCTCCTACGGACCCCGCGTCGACCTGTGCAATTTATACATACTTAGTCTACCCGCCCGTGATACCTCTACCATCGCAAAAACCGCCTCTTCTTCGTCGTCTCATTCTGTCGCGGTACCGAACCGTAGAGATACAACAAGATGATGGGCCTTGTATCTGGTGTATCTGGCCGTCGTAGGGCTACATCTACTACCAGTGAGTCGCCGAGGTACTGCGCTGAGCGCATCACCCCCCGTACGCAAATCGTTGTTTTCTGTTGCTAACATGCGCTTGTCTTCCCGTCTAGGCAGTAGATCTTCTGGTGATGCCCACCAGGATGTCGCCGAGGACGATACTCTCGTTGTCGAGCCCGACCAGGGAAACGGTCCGTTGACCCTCTAGCCTGACAAGCGGCCGCCATCCCGTCCACTGTTGCTGACCTTGTCACCAGTCCTGTCGCACATCATCTCACAGCTCAGACCCGGCGCCGATCTCAGCAGAGTCGTCTTGCCCACCTTCATCCTCGAACCTCGCAGCATGTTGGAGCGGATAACAAAGTAGGGCTTGATCAATCTTGGTTCCCTTCGCAGCGGACGGAACATACCTGCTGACCGACTGCAACAGTTTCATGTGCCATCCCGAGATGCTCCTACCCATCCCCGAAATCGACGACCCGGTACAGAGATTCGTGGCGGTAGTTAAGTTCTACCTAAGTGGCTGGCATATCCGCCCTCCGTAAGACACACGGTTTCGGCATTGCGGCAACTTGCGCCGTAGCTTGTGGCCATGTTTGCTGATATCTTTATAGGGGAGTCAAGAAACCACTGAACCCCGTCCTGGGTGAGATTTTCACCTGCTACTGGGACTTCCCCGACAAGACGAGAGGCTACTACATCTCCGAGCAAACATCACACCACCCTCCCAAGTCGAGTTACTTCTACATGGTTCCGGGCCATAACATCAGGGTTGATGGCACACTCAAGCCCCGAAGCAAGTTCTTGGGCAACTCTGCTGCGAGCTTGATGGAGGGTATCGCAATCTTGAGCCTTCTGAACCGAGGCAAGGATCCTCAGAGGGGAGAGAGATAGTAAGTGTACCATTCTGGGAGTGCTCCGGGATTCACTTGCTCATCGTGTGTGCTTTAGTATCATCACTCAGCCCAACATGTACGCAAGAGGAATCTTGTTTGGCAAGATGAAATATGAGTTGGGAGACCACAGTTATGTGCGATGCCCCGAACTCGACCTTGTGGCCGATGTAGAGTTTAAGACGAAGGGCTGGGTTAGCGGTACCTACAATGCCATTGGCGGAACCATTCGCAGAGAGAGTACCGGCGAAATTCTCTACGAGCTGTCGGGTCTGTGGAGCGAAGAGATGTACCTGCGAGATGTGAACGTAGGTTATAATCACAAGACCCATACTGGAAACGAGCTAATAGAGGAAACAGACTGGACACAAAGAGATGTTCTTCAATGCCTTGCACGCGAAATCCAGCCCTCCGATGGCACGCCCGATCGAGGAGCAAGAGGAGCGGGAATCACAGAAGCTTTGGGCCGCGACAGCCAAGGCGGTCAAGGAACGAAACCACGAACTGGCCACCATCGAAAAGACGAAGATCGAAGACCAACAGCGCGAGGAGACCGCCAAGCGCAACAATGATGGCGTGGAGTGGCATCCGCGCCTTTTCCGCATGGTTCGTGGGGGTCCTGGCGGCTCTGAGGAGGGTGAAGAGGATCTCGAGTGGATCATCAACGCAACAATGTCAGTGAGCGGGAAAATGGAATTCTATAG